TGGACAGAGACGCCCGCGGGCTGGGGACACAGTTAAAGGGGCAACGCGCCGCTCGCAGGCGCAGCCGGCAGCGCCCTCCGCCCGCGCGCCCTGCGGGAATGGGGAACATCGCTAGTGCTAGGGAGGGAGACACCGCATGGTGCCCGACCTGCAAGCTTTCTTTATTATTATTATTATTATTATTATTATTATTATTATTATTATTATTATTATTATTATTATTATTATCATCATCATCATCATCATCATCATCATCATCATCATCATCATCATCATACTTTTGTAATCTAGCAGATCATCCAGAACTCAAGTACTGGAGGTGCATCAGCACAGAGATCCTTTAGTTCTATCTATCTATCTATCTATCTATCTATCTATCTATCTATAGGGAATGTGGACTAAAACTTCAGGATGCCTGTAAGAACGCGAGTCGGCTTCAGTCTTGCTCTTGAAGGCCAGGGAAGAGTTTCACCTAGAAGGGACCTCTGGAGCACATCTGGTACAACCCCTTCTTCGAGACAGGCCAGTTAGAACAAGGCAAAAGAACAGTTCCCGTTTCCAAAGGAAAAGGTATCAAGTTGGAGTTCTGCAGAGAACTGCGTGTTATATTTAGTACAGGAGATAGAATAAGTTAGAAAAATCATTTTCTTTCCATTTCAACTTCTAATTTGAAAAGATTTTTTTCTTCTGAAAATTTTGTTTGGTCTTCCTCTTTTTATCTTATTTTCGGATACATCAAATAAGACACCTCTTTTCTTTGGATTTCCAGAGTTAAGTAAAACTAATAGTAAGACTAACCCAAATGTCAGGAGTTTTTTAAAGTTAAATAATAATTTTAGAAAATGATTCTTGAACTATTATCATGTTCCAGCTTGACCAAGTCACATAGGTACTGGCCCCAGCAGTCCACTGAAATAAGTTTTAACTATGAATTTTCAGACATATTAAATAAACCTCAAGTGAATTTGCATATTCTAATCTGACTGATACTTTAGCCTCCTGGCTTGAATAAAAATAGCCTTTATTTTAGGATAAATTAAATTAAACAAGTTTAGTTTAACTGTACTCCTCACCGAACACCAACCTAGACTCTGCTAAGCCTCAGCAGTTAAGATTTTAGGTAGAGATTTTAGGTATTCAATTTGGCACTGCTCTTGTTATGCTAATGATGCTAATGCCTATCAGGGATCCTGGGATCCAGACATAGCCACTGACTCAATTAAAGCCAGATGGTAGGTCAGGCATTTTTCAGCTTAACCAAGGTCTATTTAAATAATAAATGGTGCTGCAGACATGGGGCTATTAGCCAAGACCCCTGTTTAATCTATCAGAAGTTCAAAGCCAGATATTTCTAACCTTACTCTGGCTAAAAGTATAGGATGCCGGATAGAAGGACAGACAGCCAGAGACGTTGAGAGACTAGAAATCCAGCATTTGGGGACATCTACTAAAATATTAGACTTTTGTCTTTAATGCTTTAATGAGGGTTAGTATTAAATTTTTTTTTTTTTTTTTTTTTTTTTTTTTTTTTTTTTTTTGCTAGCTTACCTTTAGAAGAAAATAAAACTATCCTCTGTGGGACTGTTGAGGTCGAAGCTAGGTGGTGTACGTAATTGCTTCAGCATCATTTTAAAATACTTCACCAAGAAGTAATACAAACCTGAAGCAAAGGTATTAGAACCTAGAACTATCAGTCTTTTTTTTAAAGATGCTGTGCACAAGCTTTAGATCCAACTTTAAGGGAAAACTACATGTTAGAAGTTACTTAGGATGAGGATGCAAATTAAACTTTAATAAGTACAACTAAAATACTCCTGCCACCATATCTGCAACATCAAAATGCAGCATACTTGTTCATCACAGCTGTCACGTCAGATTTTACAATCGCATGATTCATTTCAGTTTCATACTGCAAGGTGTTCTGTCCTAATACTGTTGTGTGATGGTTGCTGCCAGTGCAGATTAAGAGACGAAGATTTAAGAAATATTGACATTGGCATAGCCAGATAATGGAATAATATCTCTAGCAGGGACCAGATGCTTCAGGGAAGAACAGTTGTAATATATTTCATAATATTTTGATATCCAAGGGAGAAGTTTTTTGTAAGCTGTCATTGAAAAATTTAGGAGGGTGCCCAAATCCTGGAGGATGGGCAACTGTTGGTAAGTGTTCTCTGTAAGAATAGTAAATAGAGACTTGTAGGTAATTTAATAGAAAACAAAAATGTTGGAGGCATGATATGCATGCTGCAGTTGAAAGAGAAAAGCAAATCAGATAGCAAGCAGGCCACAGGTCTGAGAGGCAGAAAGAATTTTTTAAAGAAACATCTGAAATAGGGGAAGGAAAAATGCTTTAGCATACAACATTTAGCTCAATTTGGCTTTTGAGCGGATGGCAAGGTAGTTGCCCCAAAACAAGGACAGTTAGAGGAGAGGTACGAAAAACAGTGTGACAAATCTATGTCTTCATTCTTGACCATGGTTTCATGAACACAAGATAAAACATGAGCCAAGCAAACAGAGACAGTCTTCCAGTGACAAAGTACAGATAGGAGACAAAGGGACAAGGACACTAGGATTCCATGGAAAGTTGAGGTTTAAAAAAGGAGTGTCCCTCAATCCTAATATTAGTCAGTTGAAATGCAGAATGGTAAAGCAGAAGAGAAAGACATTTTGAAAATCAGTGAAGAATGAAAAAACACATAAACAAGTAATATCCAGAGCATCCAAGGCAAACAATCATGAAGAAGTGTAAGGAAGAAAAAGGCACAATGAAGATAACTAATAAAAATAATTTGAGAGGTATCAGAGAACTCTTGATTTTTGGAAACTTCTGGAAGTCTTTAATCCCACCTCTCACAGAAAACAAGGCCAGCATCAAGATCACGTCAGCTCATCCGTGATTTTGTCTAGCCAAGTCTTGAAAACCTTTAAGGACAGAGGTTTTACGGCCTCTTTGGGCAACCTGTTCCTGTCCTGAATAATTTGAAACACCCAGACGTGGTTGTACATAGGGAGAGTACAGAAACTGAATCTGTGTGGATCAATGTTGGCAGAAGAAGTCAGTGTAGTCCTAAGCAGCCTTCTCGAGGATTTGAAGATAACATCATGAAATGTACCCTGGCAAAGTTCTAAAAGCAACACATTAAAATTGGTTTTTATCAATAAATTAAGTTTTGTGGGAACAATCCTATGGAATGAGCGATTCTCACAGTTGTTTGTTTTGAAGCTTCCTACAAGACCTTTGGTTTCCTCCTTGAAAAGGAGGAAATGTTACTTCTGCTCCTGAGCGGTATGTGAAATTAAAAGGAACATGGAAAGAGTGACCAGAGCATGGAAATGCAAGAAGGTGAAAGAAACAAACAAACAAACAAATGATGATTTCTTTCATTTAGAGAAAAACAAGCTAAATATATGATTGGGTACGTAAAACATAGGACAGTGTAGAAAATATAAGGCACTTAACATTTATCTTGTCTTGCAATACAAAAATAAGGGAACAACAACTGAAATAAGGCAACAAATGTAAAAATTAAACCCTTTTAAATACAAAACATAATTGACATATGGAAATTGCAGTCTTGAGCTAAAACTCGAAGCTTAGCAAGATACTTTAAAAATGACTACAAATATTTATTTATGCTACTGAGAATAATAATGTAAAACAGTAATAAAAACCCTTGTTTGCCAAGACATAAATCAGCAGTTTATCTGCCTATATGTAAGTGTATTCATATGGATAGAGTGTTCTTTATAAAATTGTCCATTATAGTATTTCACATCTTTTTCTGAACCATCTGGTCCTCACTATTCTTAAGAGAGTTTCTAATCAGAGTGAATATTGATCTATAAATCCATTTACTCGTGAAATCCTTCCCCAGACATATATAACCCCTTAATATTCTCATCTTTAGAGTGGGCAGTTGAGATTTCAATCTTATGAGTGACACTGTCATTTCCCCTCCCCTTAATCGATTCCCAAATACACACACACACATCCCAGTTTTTTAGTATTCTGGGACAGTAGGCATGGATACCTAGAATTTATTGTGCATACTGTTTAATTTAAAGGAAAATGGGAAAAACTATTAAATTCTATTTCTGCAAGCATCCTGTAACTGATGGAAGCCCGTCCATATTCCTGTATATATTTCTTTGTTCTATACTTGATTTCATTAAGGTTGTTCATTGAATATTTCTAACCATTTTGTATAACAAATTTTTGGAGCAATAAGCTCCCAATAATCACTAACTATTTTCACATCCAGTCCATTTTGTGGACTGCTGAATAAAGTGTAACATATAATAAAGGGTCATTAGAAAGTTTGATAAATCCTCCCCCTTTCCGCCTGCCTTTCAAGTTCAAAATTATGAATGCTAATTTTTGTAGGAGCAATAAATACTGCTCCCTAGCTGGGGAAAAATAAGTAGCCTTTCCTTAAAACATACAAGCAGGCTACTTCTTGACAGTCTTTTAAATTTTGGGGGGAGGGAGAGGGAAGCACTTAATACTTATACTGTGAACTTGGTAAGGAAGCGCTTGAGCTCTCATTTAAGAGACTTGCAAGCGAGTCATCTGCAACCTGGTAAGAAATGCTGCACTCTCTGGTCATGATGATATTGATAAGGCTATACAGTTTTTACAGAAATTAAAATAATGTCTTTGTAGCTGCCCCCGGAAAAGAGATTATATAGTATATATATGGATTTGTTCCCTAATTAATCCCAGGTTTCAGCCAAACATACTTACACAGTAATAAAAATTAAAAATTAAAAAAATCAAAGCCTCTTCCCATTGACTTCAGTGATCAGAGAATGAAGCCTGTAGTAATATTCATTTCTGTCCAAGAAAATACAAAGTAAAAGCACCCTAGCAGCATATTTTTGTTCTCTTCCTGTATACAGTGCTGCTTGAGACGGATAATCTCATTACGTTCGAAAATAAAGTGGCTCATTTTGTTTAAAAGTAAACTTTCTTCATCGTTAATCATCTCTTGTAGTCTCACTGTAGGTAAAGTAACACAAACACAATGTCTGGAGCTTTCAGTAAGGATTGTTCACTGGTGTATACTTGAAAACCAAAAAAGGTTAACAATCTGCTGATAACTGAGTGACTGTGAATATGTAAATTGATAATGACTGCATCTTAAAACTCACCAGTTTAAACTGAGTACAGGTCACTACAAACCAGAATAGTCAACGGCTTCAGATGTAAAGCTCATCAGTTCAATTTCTCATGATATAATATATATAATGCACAAGTTAGCTGGCTCTGTCATCATCATTTGCAATTACAGAAGGGGATAAGGAAAGAAAACAAAGGCCAAAGCAGCCTTGTAAAAAATGTTTCCTTCACATTGGCATTGAGAAGCTGGCACTGCCACTGGTCATGCTGATGATACAGGGCTAACACTCCCATCACATCAGCACTTCCAATATTTAAAAGGAAAAAAAAAAAGTATTTTGCCTATGGTTACTAAAACATACCCCAACTGGAGACTTGAGTTTCCAATTTTCAGAGTGAACAAAACTTGTATTGGTACGAATTAATGATCCATAATAGTAATCATTTTACCTTTGATGTGTTGACTAGGAATAGTATGCATGTCTCATTTCTTATAAAGATATATCTCTCGAACTGCTAAAGATTCAAAGATTTTCCTTATTAGAATAATTTTTTAAAAGAAAGTGCCTTTCCACATATAAATGCTAAAACATTTTTATATCTTCTTTCTTAATTCTCTGACAGGCTTTTCTAATCATTATACAAAGACTTCATGAAATTTCAGAAGTGAAGATTCATCTTCCATGAATGCTGAAAAGAGATTTTCTCTGTATTCTACAGTGTTGGTGGAGGGAACATAAACTTTCTTGAGCACCAGGTAATACTGCATATAAACCCCACATCTCTAAAAGTCCAAGAAGTGGGTAAATTACAATGCTTTCTGACTTTTTAAAAAATATTTAGACTCTACCCCACTGAAAGAGGTTTTTAGGAGGGACTCATTATCTACTATAAAAAGTTATCCATGTAGTACCTCAGTTTCCTTTTTCATTCATTATTCCATTTAAGGATGGATTATTTCTAATGAAGCAAGATGTGGGTATTTTGATAACAAAATTCAAAAGGGGATCAATGGCATGTCCATAAATTCATGCAAGCTTGGACTGTTCAAGAGAAACCAGTATGTCTTTGTATGAAAAGAACAGGCTGGTGGGGGATTGTGGTCAAGACATGGTAATTCAACGTGAAAGGGATCATTTACTAATTCTGATCTCGCAACTACCTAATATTGGGTTTTACTTCCTTTTCCTCTGCTTCATCTTCACTGTCATCAACCTGCTGAATGACCAAGTCGGTCGAGCCATCCTCTACAATCTCCACGTCAGACTTGTTGTCTTCCCCATAGTGCCACCTGGAATCCTTATCCCCTTCTTGTGGGAATTCAAGGGGTGCTTCAGTGTCCAAGTCAATGCGAATACTGTCTATGCCAGCTTCAGCCAAGCACTCATTGCAGAGTCTGTAACGTCTTGTCCCCTCCTGGACCACTTGTCCCGTCAGCTCAGTCACGTGGCGTTTACACTTCCTGCAGATAGGCTTACAAGCCTGATGAATCTAGGAAAATGGAAATGAACAAAATCTGATATCTTATCCATAAGGAAGAAGTGTGGGTTTTTTTTTTTTTTCTTTTAGGATAACAAAAAGTAGGGCTGGAACAGTGACAAATAGTAATGTTAACCCATTCTGAGAGACAGGCATCCAAATGTTAAAAACAAAGGCTCTATAATTGCCCACTTAGACTCTATTACAGGACTTACAGCACAGTACATTTTTGTGCCATCCATTAGCAATGGATTTTCATCTGAATTATACTTCATATTTACTTAAACAAAAACAGATTCATTTTGTACTACCTCTTAAGGTAGGCAGTATAACAATGGGATACACTTATACTGTGTTTAATTATACTTAACACAGCTAGATTTACATATTAAACAGATCATGCAGCTACTAAAAATACATACTGTTCGAAAATGGCTACTTAGGTGATCTAGCCTGCTAAATCTTTTTCCACATGCCTCACAAGGATAAGGGCGCTCTCCTGTGTGACAGCGAAGGTGACGCTTTAGGTCTGCTTTTCTTTTCACCACGTGTGTACAGAATGGGCACTTGAACCTCATCCTGGGCAGGTCATCTGTTAGAAAAGAATTTAAGAAAAACTTTAAAAGTTAGAAAATAATTGTTAGAAAATAACTTAAGAAGAACTTTTAAAGTTGTAACAAGTCTAGTGATGAGATATTCTACTAGTTATTGAAAAGATGAGGAGGCATTTTTGTTTATTATTATATAGTCTTGTCAAATGCAAAGATCTTATCTTGCCTGTTAATTTCACAGGAGTGCAGTAAAGGAAATGGAGTGGTCCATAGCGGTTCAATTAGTGCTCCATATTAAAATGGATTTAAAAAAATACAAAAAGGCTAATGACTTGTACTTGCAGGATGAAGCTGTGGAGACACTAAAGTTTGGCATTTTGAAAGGCTAGTTTTAATAAACTACCATAGCTATCAGGACAAATTTAAACAAGTATTTCCATCATTCATAAATACTATAAGTAGAGCTAAACTTTCCAAACTTACATTTCTGGGCAATACAAGTGATTTTTGTCAGTTTGCACTTTGTCAGTAACATCTGTTCTTTCACGAATGGATGATTAACAGATGATTGTGCCCTTAGAGACTTAAAACAGCTCTTACCTTCAGCCCAGCTTCCCATGACACCTAGAATGGAAGGCATGCTCGGATACGGCTCGTCTGCTTTTGAAGACTTGGATTTTCCAGAAGAACGGGGTGATTCATGCCCTTGCTGTGATGCAGCTAAACTCCTCGGTATCACATCAGAGCCTTGGCCATACTGATATCCCACATGCGGAGATTCAACTTCTGCTTCAATCTGAACTTGCTCCTCAGATTGAGCACTGTGGCCAGGCGGCTCGGAAGCTCTGTCCTCGAGTTTGCTTGATTTATAGTGAGGAATGTCAGGCGGCTGCTGCAGTCCCAGGTGCCTGGATTTTTTTACGGAATCCTGCCTATTCTCATGCTTGGAGAGATGGGCGTTTCTTTGAGAAGCTGGATAGTAGCTGAAATTGCTCCAAACGCTCCCACCCATCATACATGTCCCTTGCTCTGGATTTAGGTGAGAATGCGGCGGGCTGCTTTCTGCCCTCCAGCCAGCACTGTATAAGGAGGAGCGGTCCACGCCGTTCGAGTTCACGTCCTTGTCTGAGAGGCTGAAGTAGCGATCCTTCTCCTTCTCGCTGATGTCCAGCGAGGACTTGATGAACGTTTTACACACGCTGATCACATCTGTCATCTGCAGATAGCTGGCTGCCGACATGACTTCAATGACATTCTGACCAGTAAGAGACAGTTTGCCCGAATACACGAAGTCTAAAATGACTGTAAACGTGTCAGGAGAAAACGCCTGGAAAGTGGCCGTTGTTGGCTGACTTGTCTCCTTGGAGCTCTGCGAAAGGAGCATTTTGAAATAGCCACTGCTGGCGAAGAGCACATTGCGATGGGCTTTGAAGACCTTGCCCTCCACCAGGATGCTGCAGTCACAGAATAAGTCCTGCCTGCGCTGCTCATTTAGCTGTTGCAGGAGGTGAAACTGGTGAGAAGAAATCTCCATTCCAGAAAAGGGGAAATGCAGAGTTGCTCTAAAATAAAAAACAGAATTCAAGTCTTGAGTTCAGCATCTTACAACTCAGAGAAACCAAACCCAATTTTACGGGTAGCTTTTAAAATAATCTTGCTCAAAATACATGCTTTTAAATAACAATATGCATAACATTACATTGTATTTTGAAAGGCAAAGACTCCAGAAATGCAAGCAGCCCAATAAACCTGGGCACATTATTTGGCAGACGCGTGTGCTCCAGCGGGGAGCATCCACCTCCTGAGGACAGGACGTGCGCCTTGCTGGAAGCTCCGCAAGGCGGGAGCCCTCGGGCGGTCGCGAGCGTCTCGGTGGCGCCTGGCGTTGTCCTCATCCCAGCGCCCCGCGCCGAGGGCGGCAGGAACGCGGAGCGCGGCCCGGGCT